AAGAGGTATAAAGTATTATTTTTCTAACACACAATCAATGTCTCGGTCATCGGGTAATTCTCAATTAATTTCAATTGAAAAGCTAAGACCTTGCAAGCGACTGAACGAATAAAGCTATAGGATACTGAGTCGGCTACTTCTTCTCTTACTTAGACAATTTCTGTACAAAAGTCTACCTCTTGCCAGCCATTGAACTCTTAGAAAAATGTCAAGAGAAGAGGTATAAAGTATTATTTTTAAAAAAAGTTTCTAACGTTCTTGGCGATTTATATCAGTCCTAGGGAAGATGGAAGATAGTGTCCCTGTAAAATCCAAAGAGCTCGTAAGACGCACTAAGCTAAGAGCGTACAAACTCGTCTTCCTTAAGATTATGGTGTTATCATACTTAATACAAAATGCTCTAAAGCACGAAGAAACACCCAATTTATATAGTCTAGGTGTTCTGAAAAACACCAGCTATTCCAAGAATATTTATATATGTATATCATTAGACCGTAAGCTTTTTTATCCCTTGCTAAAACCACAAGTCGTTATAAAAGTTAATATTCAAACGTTTAAACAAGAGAATGCATCGAGTTCGCCTTTAATTTCAGTACCCTGCGACAACAAATGACCTCCACTGACCTCTACTCAAAACATACGCGACATCATTCTCCATAACTGTGAAGGAACGTAACAGCTTTCCCTTCGAACTCAGGCTTGTTAACGTTTCGAAAGATGGGATCAATGTATTAGTTAAGGGCCAAAAAATATTTTTTTTTAAATCGATCAATTTATTGTGAAACACTTATTGTATGAGAAGCTTTTCGGTGAAGGAAAGGTCACTAATAGAACTTTTAAAGCAACTCGAATTATTTCTCTTTTCTTTTCTTTTCTTCTCGTTTTTTTTTTTTTATTATTATTATTTATATATCGCTTAATATCAATAATTTACGAGTTTACGTGTTTTGCTTTCGAGTTTGTTTCGCTTGTTATTTTAATTTATTTTGCTTGTCAAAAAAAAAAAAAAAAGAAATACTTACACCTGTGTTTTAGTTTCTTTTATTTAGCTTTTTATTTTGTTTTTCTTTAATATTCGGTTTGTGTTAATTTGTTTTTGTTTTTTGTTGTCGGTTTAAATGAAGCTGAATTTTTACTACCATTTTTTTTCGTTTTTCTGCTTATTTTCTTCTCTTTAATTATGATTTTCTTTCGGATGATTTTCCATAATAAAATTTTAATTTTTTCTTTTTCGTTCTTTATGTTCTTTAGTTCTTTTTTGTTTTTTGTTTTTTTTTTTGCTTTATGAACATATTATATAAACATGTAGGTATGTATATAGGTATTATGAATGTTATGCTTTATTTTTTTTTATGTACTTTTTAAAACACCATTATTTGATCGCCGCTACCTTCCGCACTGTCATCATCATCATCATCGTTTTCTTCATCTTCGTCATCGGATGTCAGCGATGAGGCATTATTCACTACTGACTCTATATAAAATATGACATGAAAAAGAAGAAGAAAAATAAGACAAATAAAAACATTATGGCCGGCTATGTATATAACATGCATCACTTCATTTAATGCAGTTTCATTCAAATAATGACTTGTCAAAATAAATCTTTATAAGAGGAGGAAGCGACAGAAAAAATGATTTTGAAGAGCATTCGTCTTTGGGCCAAAACGCGACATTTTACTAAAATTCATGAGAATATCGTAAAAAATTGCCATTTGTAGGTTAGACTCATAGACGGACAGACAGCCAAACAAGCTTAGATCGATTCAAAATTACTTTCTGTATAATAAAAAGTGAGCTTATCTCAAGTCCTTGCGGAAGTCACATACATCGGCATAAATTTAATATACCCTTGCATCTTCAGTGGCATTAAAAAAAATGATATAAAATGGAAAGAAATTTTTATCTCTCAAAGCAAAGCAGTAAAGCTTAGTGATATGATTATGTAAATCTGGTGAAATATGCCTACACTCGAATAGATTCGTTTGCTTGTGTTGGTAGAATTTTTTTTCTAATTAGGCTTTTATTCATTTTAGAATTGCTTTAAGATATATGTCAGTCTTTTGATTATTTTCTTTGTTTTGATCATTTTTGGCGCTTCTTTAAGCATTACGCCACTTTTTATCATGCATTGTCTAATGTGCATCCTGCCATTACTTGATATTATCTATACAAGTGCAATAAAATGTCTTTCCAATTTCAAGTTGATTGCTTATGACAATTTTCAGAAAACGCAACAAACAATTAGTTATTGAAAGACAAGGCTAATGATAATCAGAAGCACTTAATACTTAAGAATATATTTACTGTGGAGAGGTCTTCTAATCTGATACATGTTAATGCATATTCATATACTTTCTACCTGTGTGATTACTTGGCAAGGATTTCATGTTATGGCACTGTTGTATTCTAAAGTTCAAACTTTACGAAAGTAGGTGGATCGCACACGTATACCTTGTATATACAATTTTAGACACATTATCTATGAGAAAATAATGAAAACTAAAGGATTTTATGAAAAGCGGCTAAGGGTATTAGATGTGTGAATAAGCGCTCGTCAATTGTTTTTTAAAATTTAAAGGGTTTCATAGAAAAAGTCCCATACGTTACTTTGTTCAGTGCCTTGTCCTCTCAGCTCCCATGCCAAACATGAATTTGGTGGGAATCGGATAAATCCGCAAAAAAAAGCTTTACTTCACTTTGGATGATTAACAATGGAACCACTCTTCGAACAAAGCGATAATAATCAGCGGGGAGGATATGATCTTCCAGATTGAAATTGCAAACATTTTCTGAATGAATTTTTGCTATGTGATGGTGAATTACTTTGTACTGAAAAATTACATCATCATGATTTTTCTCATATTGCTCCCGTTTTTTGCCTCGATTGCATCAATAGTTTTTCATAGTTTTAACGATGCTTGTATTTCGTTGAAATATATCATAAAATAAAATACTTAAACTTTATCGTCGTTATGTTAATGATTTTCTTACTCTGCATTGTGGTAACACTTTCAGTATTCAGCATTGGTAAGGATTTAGACGATTTATCCTTTGAATTAAGCAGAACAAACGAATTGGTATAAAACCACACCTTTTCAAAGCTGTAAGGCAATTTGTTGTGTGTGTGTGTGTGTGTGTGTTTAATGTGATGATTTTTACAGTTGCGTATAGCTTAAAGGCAATACTTTGAAAAGAAGTCGTCAGAGTTTTATTCAGCATCCTACTAGCACTGTGTACAACTCTATCTTAAAAATACTTATACTTCATTCATAGATTCATTCGAACATATATCTCAACTCAATCTTATAATAGATCAAAAGGAGAATGAAAAAGTCAAAAGACACAATTCGTTAAATTTATTCAGAAACTTAAGTTAAGGCAGACTCAACGTGCATATGCAAGATGTCTTTAGAATGCTTACTAAACAGAGCATAGTTTATTTATCGAAATTTACTTTTTCACTGTCAATTTAAACTTGAAATATAATGAGGCTAACGCTTTGAACAATAGTGTATTGATTTTCATAGCCTTAGGCTAAACTCCCCTTTCTCTTAAGTCTTCGTTTAACGTAACATATCATGGGAATGTGAATTTTCGATTCCGAAATGGAAAAAAGTTCGCCCTGACTCATAAGAGCCACATGCGGTACTTGCTGGATCACATTAGTTTTTGGCTAAAAACGCTTCCTTAAGAAAACAGAGTGCCGCCGCTTCTTCTGCCTGATACCCAAAGCACTTTGTTAGAGCTTTTATGAGAATACATTTCAGGTTCAATATGTTTTTAATATTTTTAGTTAGCATAACAGTTTTACGTTAGAAAAATACGAAGAGCGAATCGCAAAAATTATTTTAAGATTTTTATGCATTTATTGAATATCTATTAAAGCCTTCAGTTTACGTCTTTTCCCTATACTTTATATGGATTGAATGGTAAAATATAAAATTCACCTCAAATTGTTCTTCACTTAAAAATTTCTAGCTCTGTCGAAGCGTACTTAAGTGATTTGAAGTAATTAGTCTTGAAATCGATTATGAAAGCATGAGCATGAACTTATCATATGCTTGTATTATGTAACTATTTATAATAGATCAGAGAACTTCATTTCATTTCGTTTGAGTAAAGTTCGAGTATTTTCAACGCCTACTTTGCGCAATTATTCAATGCTGAAAATTCGAATATGCTAATTAAGTATTTCGATTTGTAACGCTTAGACCGCAGTATTCATCTTCGTCTTCTTCTTATTCCTCCGTTCAGCAGATGACATGCTGCGTTATGATAGAAAATGCTCTGTCTTTACACGAAGTATTTAAGTACATTCTTGTAACTCCTCACAGTCAGAGTTGTCTTTGAGTTAGAACTTATCTTGCTGATCTATTGACCCATATTGAAATGTGATCTAATTCAATTCGCTTCATAAGCAGATAATAATTATTTGTTACGTTTCATTATTATTATCATTATTTTCTTTGCCTGAACTGTCCAAAGATCAATTTCGGATATGTCTGGATCGTGTTTATCAAGGCGTGAAAAGTTGGAATCGTGTTCGAAACATAACAAGAACTTCCTCCATCTGACATTCGTTAAGCAAATTGTTTGCAAAACATTTTTCAAATATTTAACGACTCGTGGTCCGCAATTCAAAACAAAGAGATGCACTTTCCAGAAAGTGTACTCCAAAGCAGACTTCGCAAGGCGACAAGCCTGAAAGATCTTTACATTTCGCTATCAGATATCCTAGAGAATACGCAAAGTATATTCGCTGTGGCAAAATGCATCTGTCCATTGTCTGTCTGTATATATATTTTTATTCGGATATTCTTATGGTTATGATTACAAGTACTGGGATCTTCAATTAAAATTTTTCGCAGTTCATATTCTCTTACGAGAACGTAACGGTCCGTTAACAAATCTGAACGTAATTCCTAAATCACTAAAGAAACCTTTAAAAATAATTGGGAAGAATTTTAAAGATTTTCCCATTAATCGGTTATGTGATAAAAACGCATGCAAAAGAATTCTATTGAAAAAATGATTGGCAATTATTTACTGAAAAATTTGAACTTGAGAGACATGAGAATACTCCAACCAAAATTCTCTTCAAAGCCATTATTTGAGTTATGCTATCAAGGAGTTTATATAGAGATATTATCTAAGATATTATTAAAAAGATTCTATTCACATTTACTATTACATTTGCAAGTCCCAGCAAATGGGTTAGATAGATGAATTAACCTATGCTAAGCTATTATAAATTAAAGTTTTTTTTTTTTTGCCTTATAAAATTAATTTGTATGTAAATTATTTACAACGTAATTGCAATTAAATACCATAAACTTTAAACATTAAAATGGACAATAGTATCTTTAATGATCAACAACAATAATAATCCACTCGGCGCACCGATATAAATATATATGTATATGTATATATATATAATTTTGTTTATTGCTATTGATAACAGCAACAACATATGCAGTAAATTGTATTGATTTCATGTTTGTATAATAATCAACAGACATGTAATTAGTTTTACATCATCATTACCGTATGTGCCGAGAATAGGTGAACGCATTTACATGAAATGTAAAATGCAATTCGTTGATCATGTATGCACGTATGTGTATATAACTTATGGATATTGTAGTGATATAAATAAGTCTGTCCGCAATTCATTTCATACCAAACTTCAGGCATCTGCATTTCTATGAAATATTGAAAGCAATATGCAAATGCAAAGTACTTGCTTGTAGTTGCAGTATGGCTTGTTGTAACTACATACGTAGTTACATTTGTATAATTTGTGTAATATGCACATGTAGGCATAACGCATAGTTGTACTACCTTACCGTAGTCTATATGGTTACACTAGTAATTGCTGGCAATTCTATGTTTATTGATCAAACTTGTTGTTGTTGTTGTTTTTTTTTTTATTTCTATTTTTTATTTTTTTTTTTCATCCATATTTCGAATTCATTCTGTACCATAATTCAATTCCTTTAAGCTGACATTTTAACTAAGAGATATTTACCCACTTACAAGCTGTTTGCTATTGGGCTATACTATGTGCAAGAGTTATAAATTGCTTACAACCGCAGACATGCATGCATTTTCATGTATTTCAGTATAAGCAGTACTTTCCCTATAAGGACTTCTTGCGGTATGAAATACTGATTTTAGTTTTGTAAAAAAATTTTAAAGCAGAATTTATAAACAATCATTATGACAAATGCATAAAATTGCTTAATATCGCAACACGATTGCCTTCATCTCTATTAAGCTTCGTCAAAAGCTTTTCGTCAAAATTGATATAACTGGCTTCTTAACGGACATCTATTAACATAACATGGTGTAAAAATCGATGTTGCATTTAAAGATCATTCTTTTTAAACAGTGCCAGGCTTTACGTCTATATGCGGCGAGATAAGCTTTTCTGACACTGTTTATATTTGTTTAGCTTTGGCTGCCCAGCGGTGTTTGGTGGCTCCCTTGAAAAGCTTAACATAGGTGACCGTGATGTTCTTCAGAACTTTTTGTCTTTTAAACGCGACTTGTGTTATTTATCAGCGGATAATTAAAGCAAGAACGTATCGCATCCCCATCCTTTGCTAGTATAACAAGTCAAATACCGGCAAACAGTAGCAACCGTGAAGGCCGTGTCTAAAATCACTTATTGAGCCAGCGATGATGCTGTGCAAGAACTAATGCAGAGCTTGAGGCGTTCGTTCCCTATAGTGTATATAAAGCATTGCATGATTTTATAGCCCGAGAAAAGCTTTGTTCTCTTATGATCCCACATAATTTGAAAAAAATTTCAAAGAGACAGATACTACAAGCAATACAACGGCTTTGCTTCGACGGACGGTTGATTGTGTTCGAAACAAGTGATCGCCTGTTTTCTCGAAAAAACTAGTCGAGAGAAGAACCAAAAAGCTACGTTGGATCATACTTCTGATGATGATTTTTTTTTGCTACCGAATCTTAAGAGGAAATTGCGTAAGAACATTGATGCGTGCCAATGCAATGATTTTAGCAAAGAAATTAAGAATTAAGAAAAGATTATGGCAAACGGTTCAGAACGTATGGAAAAGTGTATAAATCGTAGAGGGGAATGTTTTGAAAATCATTTACTATTTACCATTATTTTTATTTTTTTTTGATTATTAGGTTTAAAATATAAACAATGTTCTACGTACTTTTCATTTATAGCATTCTTCTTACTATACATTATACCTATACTGATATAAAACAGATGACATGATTTATGTCCATTAAAGTCAATTTTACCTAAAGGAAAGCAATCTTTAAGCTCATCTATTGAAGAATATAATTTTATAATACGAATTATCTTCTTCTTGTTGAAAAATATTTGCAAACATTTAGTTGAAAGGGAAAGCTCTACACAAAAAGGGTTTTTTTTTTTTTTAAATTTGATAAAAACGTTTTTGGTTGTTGCACTTTTCTTAAAGAGAGTTAGTTGATCGCTGATGATGATTGGTCGGACAATTTACTGCAGTTTTTACTTTGTTTTTCGTTTTCTTGCACAACAACAATCCTTAAAAGCGATTCGCTTACGGTCATATCTTTAGAAATGAAAATGAATTAAAATATGATAGTCGGGTAGAGCGACCAATTGAATACCTTACACCATTTCAATTAACACACCTTCTCTTCGCAAAGCACCGAATATTAGAACATGTTGCCTTATGAAGATGGCTAAAGTGTTCCCCTGCAAACTTGTTTGTACTTTTATATTAAAAGCTATTTAGAGTATAATGCCATGATTTACTGTGCGAGTGCAGCCAGATTGACGATAAAAATGACTCTTTCAAGTAAATAACTAATATTCTCTCTCAGTTACTTAAGTATTCAAGATTTCCCTAAGAACTGTGACTTAGAACTACGATAGAAAGTTTACTGTTAAGAGCATTCATTATGTTTACTTAGACCTGGCGACCTGGCGAATACAAAATTTTTTTTCTTTTTTTGTAGCGCTACAGCTAATCTGAATGACATCCTTACAGACACACTCCTTATAAATATTGTATATGAAATTATTTTCAACCTTTGTAGCAATATATATATATATATATATATATATATTTTAAGTAATATTTTCCGCTTAACTAAGCAACAAGATTTTTATGCGGCCAAAAGTGACGCATACTGTATATACATAAATATAAAATTCAATTCACCTGCTTATATTATACATATATATATATAGTATAGCTATGCTACTTACCGCAATTGGGTTTACCGCGAGTACGTGTATTTGCAAATTCAACGCCATGCTTATCTACACACCAGCATACACCGACCGAATTATGACATTGGGTGGGCTTGTAGAAGCCTTGCACATCGCAATCGGGCGCATAAGCTCCTATATATTACGTATACATGTGGGTGTGTGGGTTATTTGTCCGTACACATATATATAGGTATATGTATATATATATATATATATATATATTGTTGCAATTGTTATGTCCAATATAATAACAAGGTAAAGCACATAAGCCATGGATGAAAGAAGTTAAGAGTGGAAAATTGAAATGAAAAAGAAAATTATTTTAATTGTACATAAAAATATATATATATATATATATTTTTTTTTTGCTACAATAACAAGTAATTGAGCATTAAAAAAATGGTTGGTTATCTTGAAATAATAGCAACTTAGTTTAAGATTTTATTGTGTAAAAGCATAAATTGTTAGATTTTAGTGTGCGAGTATACATATATCAGAGTATGTTTGTATATATATCACTCTAAAGTTTATATATAAATTTTAAATAAATTGTTAACACAAAATAAAAAATATGAAATTTTTGTTAAAGTTAGTGAAAGAAAGCTAAATATTATATATTGTCTTAGAGAGAGAGAGAGAGAGAGAATAAAGCTATTAATGCATTAAAAATATCAATATTTGCGCGATACAACATTTGTTATAGCTCTTCCTATATCATAGACAGTAAATAATTTCCGAAAATATATATCGCATGGGAGCTTGATATGTTGCTGCCTTGAGAGAGAGAGAGAGAGTAAAAGTTGATAAAATATTTATTACTGCGTAGATCTCACGTAATTGTTCTATGCTCTATATATTCTATGTGAACATATATATATGTACGATAGCCAAAAAAGAGTCCGAAAAAATGTCAATTAAGGAGATCGTCTTAAAGTAATCGAAATTGAAGTATCGACTTCGATTCAAAGACGTTAGCAAATGATTTTGGACCTTTACAACAAGTATGTGTTTATCTAATCAGATCCTTGAATAACATTCGATATATATAAGGAAGAAAGATATTCGGCAAAGTAAAAGAGTAGATTTACTTCAAATATTTATTCGTTTTTCAAATATTTTCAGATTTTTGTGAAAATTTCGTATTTTTGAATTTATTTTATGAGTCTTAAGAACACTAACTGTTTTATCGGATGGAATAGGAAAACTCTGAACAGAAAGAGTCTATGTGCAGATTAATGAAGAAAAATTCATTACTGTACATCGATCTAATGCATTTCCAAACGTTAAAAATGTTTTTCTGATTTTTCTAAACTTTTACTTTTGACATAACTTCTTCAAATTTTGAATTTTTTGCTATCGAATAACACAAAGGGTACATTCCATCAAATAATTCAAAGAAAATTTCTTATTTCTTTTCTCAGTAATGGAGTTTTTCATTTCAATACTCACTGACTATGTACAAAGTTACATTTCGTAAAAATCACTTAAGATATGGACTTTCTCCCTTATATCTGATATCTGTTTTCTGATATCTTTTAAAAATAATTTTTTTTTATTTTATTTTTCAAGAATGTCGCAGTGACTGCGCCCCTTAATGTCTTACATCACTACAGTAAAGCCCACCGCATCTATTGTGTTCTGGGCTTGAGATAATGGGATTAAATTTCATAAAATTTCTCCATACGATTTCGGATCGAGACATATCTTAAATTTTGTAAGCGCAAACCGCGGAAATGACATCGCAAGGGGTGAAAAGATGAGATCGATTTCATAGAAAGATTTTCATAGTCAGGAGGATGGGTACGATTGGATTGTATATGACGGTTCCTTTGTTAAGCCAACAAGTAGAATTGTCGACCTGAAAATGGACAGATAGTCGTCAAGAAAGAGGCTTTCAAGCAAGCCCGAGGCAGTTTAAAGAACATTAACGAGAAGACGACAACCAATAACATACCACAAGAAGAAAGTTGTTTTGCAGCCGATATAAGCGATTTAAGACAAGTAGCCTGAACTGAAGCCTTGAGGGTTGTCAGCCTTAATCAGTTAAATAAAATAAAAATGGGATTTTTTTTTTTTTTTTGGACCGATCTTATTTACAATCTTTAACAAGGCAAAGACTTTTTCATTAAGCAAAATGGGATTTTTTTTTCGACCGATCTCTTTTGCAATCTTTTAAAAAGGCAAAATATTCGCTGCCGGTGGTTTCTTCAAGCTCCCAAAGCAAATAAATAATTGAAATTGGGTATAAAAAAATATTTGTTTTTCTTCAAATTTGAAAATAAATAAATAAAAACATTTTAATAAATTTTCATCAATAAATTGAAATTTATATAAGAAATCGTTTTGAATTTTTGCTTAAATGCAACCTACTAAGGCTATATACTAAAGATAAAATTAACCTCACGGTCAATTGACTTAATCATGGCTTATAAAAATGATTTATTAATTCGTCAAAGAACGTAGAGTTGCTTTCAAGCTGCTATCCTTTTCATTTTATATAGTATATTTTATACTAACTAAGAGAGAATTTTTTAAAGAATATATCTAAATATATCTAAACATTTAAAACTAAAACTAAAAAGGAAAGTCTCTACAATATATTTCTTGCTACTAGAAACTTTTGAATTTCTAAAGTACGATTTTTTTCGATGGGTGCGCGTGTATGTGTTTTCAGGTGTTTATGTGTGTGTGTGTGTGTGTGTGTGTGTGTGGAAGTATTTGCGCTACGGAAAGTATTTTGCAAGCTGGTGTATGTAATAAGAAAAAGAAGAACGTAACACAAAACATTTTTAATATAGAATATAACATCTAGAAAAAAAAAAAAAAAAAAAAACCCCAAAAAATTTATATTCATATATAAAATTTGAGTAAATATTCAAGTTTGTGTATGTTAGCTATGTTAGTATCCTTAACGGTGTTCAGTGGCTTTCACGCAGCCTAATAGGATTTTCTTTTCTTTTTCCTCCTTTTTTTTTCTCTTTTTTATTTATTTTTTTTTGTGTGCTTTGTTTGTTTTTTTATTTATTTTTTTTTTTTATTTCTTTATTTTTTGCTTTGTTTACCTTTTCGTTAAATAAACAAACAAATGATAGGAACAACTTAATGCAAAAATATGTAGAAAAGAAATGAAGAATTAACAAGTCCACCTGTACCTATCTCACCTGCAAAATCGCCAGCGATTCTTCGTCGAACCGCGGCACAAGGACGATCAGTTTTTTCAAAACAACGGCACCATTCGCGCGTGTTAATTGAATTATCCTGATCCAAATCGCATGTATCAATGAACGGTTTAATGCAACGTTCATTTTGATCATGTTCCAAGTCATACATTTCCTGCAGTGATAAATATCCATCATTATTCAAATCCAAATGGCCAAACATCCATTTCGCTTCAGTTTTGCAGGCTGGTGGAAAATGTGCTTTTGACTTTTGACTATGCTGGCGACGTTTTTTACTGTCAGCCATTATAACCGAAAACCAATCCAACAAACGATTCCCAATGGCGGTCAATTGTTGCGGTTTGCATTCAGGTGATTTAGATGGATAACCTGCATGTGTACATAGACGAATGTATAAAGCACAAACTGCTAAGTAATATATATGTATATAACATATACGAACATTTGAGTATATCCTTACCATTGTTAATGTTGTTGTTTTTTTGATATTTTTGTGGTTTCTCGACCACCTCATTGTAGCCACGTATTTTGTGTTTATCCTCTTGATATTGTTGATTGTCCTTGATTTTTTATAGATATATATATATAGATATATATATTTTTTTTTATAATAATAACATAATTTAAATAAGTAATTTTTATAGTTTATGATTATGATCATTCTCATCATCATCATCATCATCATCATCATCATCATCACCACCATTAACATCCATTAACAAACCATCATAAGTTCCATTAATAATTCTTTACAATGATGTTGCTGGGAATGACCATAGGAATGGTAACAAGGACATTGGGAAAAATGTCTTTACCTTCTTATAAGCGGTGTACTTGAGATATTTATAATGTTTATTATCGTATTTGATTTCCTCCGGCGTGAAAGTGAATTGTGAATTGATATGATTATAATGACGATTGTTGTCATCCTTATCCTGACCGACATACGCCATCATATAATATAATATATATATATATATATATATAGTATAGTACAGTAAAAATACACATATTCACCCATAGGCAAGGAATCAGGACACACATGTCGCAATCAAATGAAGGTGTATAACAATGATAAAGGAAAGACAGAATTTTCCGGGCAGAAATACGGTTGTCATAGAGATGGATTTTTTTTTTTTGTTTTTTTTTTTTTTTTGAAAAAGAGAAAAATAAACAAAGCAAATAGTTATGTTTGTCCGTATGTAAGCATAATGTTACTGATAAATATATATATATATATATATATGTATATGTATGTTATGTAAGGGTAAACAAGTCTTAAAAGCTAGCAAGCTTTACTAGATGCTTGTCTTTGCATATAAAATATTTACGCAGTCAGTGATAAAATCATTACAGTTCAACTTTCTCTGTACTTAAGTGGAATCTAATGGTGACAACAATAAAAAAAGCTTTGTTCACCTCAGGGATAATCCTAAATAAAGTTTTTTTTTTTTATTTCTTCTCCATTCGTTATGTACTCTACTTTAAAAGTAAACTTAAGCGGACATATGAATGATATAACTGTTTGACGGAATAATATTAACATGAGCTTAAAGGGCTCTTTTGGGCATCTTACTGTTATATGGACTGATACTTTTAACAAGAATTTAAATTGTTTGCATTTCATTAACATATACGTTACTAATTGTTAGTTAAATTATTGCGGTTAAATTTTTACTTGCAGTGAAGAAATTCTTTTAACTGTTTGCCTATGATTTCTTCATTTCATTTTATTAACCTCATGCAGTTATATTGTAAGTGCATATCTTGAAATAGATTTGCTGTTAAATGTATATTAAATTGATTATAATTTCAATTTAATTTCTATTGAAAGCGACTCTGGCTCATATTAATTGAAATTTTATTATTGAAAGGCAGTTAAGTATTTAAGTATCTTGTCTGCAAATATTTGGTTAAAATCAAGGAAGTCGTTACATATTTAACAGTTAATTGGTCAACTCTAGCACTTAATTTCCAAGGCAACAATATTTGTTTATATCTACTCTGTATTGCTCTCTTTTTGAATGGCTTGATTGTTGCTCTCCTTTATTAAAGATAATTGAATCACTTCAATCCCGTAACGTAGCATTAATTTCCGTTTACAAAAAAAATGTGCCAGCAGATCAAAGCTCTTTATTTCGCTAAAAAATACGCTGAAGGAATTATCTACTCGTAGTCGTATTATTAATAAGTAGTGATGTTCAAGAGAGCGGAAGTTCCTTTTCGCTTTTCCTTTTTCTGCTGTTGGCTGCTGAGAAATCTATAGCGTCAATGTCATGGCCTTCTTTGAACAACAAAAAATCAGTCAATCGCAAACACTCGAAATCTATTCCTTTTTTTTTTTTTAAATAAGTTTTCCTTTATCCGAAATTATGGTTTACATAAACTATATTATTTTTCTCTAAAGCGAAAGTCATATCTCTACTATATGGATGTCTTAATATTACATGAAATCATCGGAAGTAGAGAGATAGAGAAATATCTGCATCGCATACATTTTGTTTGTCTGAAAATATGCTTTGCATTTTGTTGTATTTCCTTTTTCTTTTTTTTTATGTTGCAAAAATATTTGATATAAACATTGAAAGTTGTTGCTGTTATCTACAATAAAGTTAACTTTCATCAGGAAATACGATTTACATGGTATTCTGTTCTTGTCCGAAAATATGCTACACAAAACTCGATCTTGTAAAATGCAAGACAACCTATCCCTATTATATAAAGCAATAAATTATTTTTTCGAAACTATTTTTTCTTTTTTTAATTTTCTGTTTGTTTCCTGTCCTTTGCTTTTTTTTTTTTGTTGTTGTTCCCTGTGCTTTTAATACAAGAAAAAAAACACCTCTTTTTGGTGTTATACCATTTTCTTTCTTTAAAAATATGATAAAATTGTGGGTTTTTTTTGTGCGAAATCTTTCATTGCTCTAAGAATTCGGATCAGACGGAAGAATTTTGCTATGAAATAACTTCAAAATAATTTCAAAATAATATCACAATATAATGCTAAAATATTTACTTGAGAACAATGCATAGACAATTTTAGCGGGTTCAGCGTGTGTGAGTAATTGTCCTCACGAACATGATAAAATTTTCTTATATTTACATAAGATATCTTATAAGGGAATAAATTGTGGAATATTTTCTAGGCAAATGCCGATCGCATTGGGAACAAGTGGGAAGTTGAACAAAATATTGATTAAAATTCAGTATAATACGCTTAAAAACTATTTATTAGGTGCATCCGTAAAAACGTCTAATGTGCAGTCGAACGCGCGATTTCAAGATATGACAGCTACCTTAAAGCCTATCTACGTGCCCACACACATGACTTTATAGAACTTTTGGAAATAAAATTTTCGGATTCCTTCATGTGAGGGATTCAATTAACAAATTTCTGCTACTTTGCTGCTAATTACAGCAAATGCATGAATTTTAATATCTTATATGTCTGCATGCATGTGTGTGCCTGAATATTTGCTCCTGCTCCTGCTCCTGCTCTTGCTACTGCTTAATATTTATGCCTCTTAAGCATGTTATTGAACATCTGGGCGGTCTTGTTTTCTTGTAAAATCATTCATTGCATATGTACATAGATGCATAGATCCTACTTACATCCATTATTGTATTAAATTCATTATTATTGCTGCTGCTAATAATATTGTTGTTGCTATTCTCTTTATATTGTTGTTGTTGCTTTTCTTGTTGTTCAATGGTTTTCTTATACTTGGCGTTAAATACATTCTGTCTATCGTTAAGACGCTGCAAGCGCTTTTCATTTATGTTATCTGCAAATGAACAAACAAACAAACAAACAAAGACATAAATCTTAAGAAAATTGTAAAAGAAAACAAACTTAAAGAAAACTATATTTCATTGTCACTACCGAAAATTCGTATAATGCACAATCAATGCCTTGTGAAAATTCGATTAAAACATTCCTTTCATTCCTTTCATTCCTTTCAGTATTCCAGTATTGTTTTTAGCAAACTCTACGCTATTGATTGCCATCCGTATGTAGCTAATCAATATGGAAAACTGATTTTCACAATCGTATCAATCAATTACCACAAACCAATTGTTGGTTATTCGGTACATTCTTTTTCTTTTTCCGCCACAAAAAACAAGAATAAATTAATGTCGTCGTTTCATACGCGCGATGTGATTAAACGAAACAACTTAAGCAAATTTATTCCTTTTTAAAGCTATGCTTAAGTTCATAAGAAGATAATCAGTCGTATCAATTACGGTTACTAGGATCACTACCTTTTAATTACTTTGCAAGTTTTAGGAAATTTGGATAACCTAAGATATGCTTTCAAATATAACTGAATTAAATCTTTAAATAATCAATCGCAAGTATGAGGATATATTCATCTTATCATTTTGTTTGTAGCCCGGAAAAAAAAAAAACCTAGTAAGCATAAAAGACCGATTGGACCGATTTGGGACTTTGAATCACACCATTTAACCTTTGGCACCAGCTGCACTCTGCCAAATCGTCTACCTGTCTGAACTGTTCATCCATCTCGCCTCGTTACCCAATCACCCATTGGCCTCTTCTTACTTCTGTGTATGTCTTTGCGTAAGACCACAAAGAATGGAATAAAAATTGAAGAAATGGCCATCAAGGGCGGCGCCACACTACACAAAGGTCTGCTAGCTGCGTTTTAACGTGAATAAGATTTGTTTAAAATAACACATTCTAATAACACATTCTATGAACGGCTGGCTAAGTTAGAAAAGGCTTGCGTGTGTGTGTGTAGAACCACGTTCCAGGGGTTGGGGCATTTTTGAATGCGTAAAGACTTGAGCTTAAAATGGTCTCGAAACTATTCTCTCTCGATAATTTTGCTAGTTTTTGCCCTTACGTCTCCAGAATATATTTTAGTCATTGAATTGTTACTTAGCATCCCCTGTTCATGTTTCTTGAAGCGACTCCAATGGCACAAAGGATGGCATTGAAAGAAGCTATGACAGACATATTTACTAGGGACCCTTTAGAATGAAAATGTTAGTAGGAAAATATCATGAGCCACTGGAAACTTATAAAAAAGGCATCGAGTTCAACTTTTAACCTTGATGAGCGTACTTTTATACTTTTGACAAACGTGTGAGATGAAAACATATATATATGATGATTTATATCATCATAAATGTATTGTATAAAAGATTTTTTGAATTAAATAAAATACTTTCTAATTACTCTTCTAATAATCTGTACTGGCCATCAATAAGCGCGATCATTAAGTTACTTGGACGTCATTACATAAAATTCTTCCTTAAGTTTATTTATCCTTTCCTTTTCAATGTTGAAAATTTATTTATTATCGTTCGTCTGATCCTCTACTTTTTTTTCTCTTCCTTTAATAAATATTATTATTTTTCATTTATTGTTGTTGTATACTTTAGCGGTTTTATAATCAGCTTAGCATTTAATCGAATCAATACTTTTCCACTCATTGTTCTCCGCATTACTAGCAAACTTTACTCGCTCATTTCAGCTTTGCTTTCATTCTTCATGAAAATTTATTGTCCTCTTCTATCAAAGTTTCTCCTGCTGCGGGTTATAAGGATGTTGTTTCACATAATTTCTTAATGCGTTCAAAAGAGTATATATATACTGAATATATACTTATATATACATATATATGTATATATATATATTGATAATGAGCAAAAAATAATCGCTTGTTTTCAAACTTTGTTGTTGTACTCGAAGAATATGACTATGACTTATAGAAGAAATCCAAAGAAGTATAAGCGAACTTATTGGTGCGTTGGATTACATTTAAGTTATCGGCATTTGGCTTTACTTTCTCGCCCGATTAATTGCTTTTTATCACAGCTGCCATCAAATATTGGCAATAAATTAATTTCGTAATTCTCTTTGCAACATCTGCAATGAGGCATTTTTAAGACTTATAAAGCATTTTTACTTCGCTGATGAATTTTGATTGATTTTTACAAATACTATTAAGAAATAACGTCATACAATGTTCAGTTTTATTTACAAAAATTTACAAATACTCATCAGAAATCGCATAAAGTATATACATTTTTTGATCAGCGTAAAAAGTCCGTCCGTCCGTCCGTTCATTTCTGTGAATTAAGAAGGCAAGCTCAAACTTGATCGCAAGTGGATGAGTACTGGTCGAGTCGAAAATAGTGTCATGCTTCGACAATAGTGTCATGCTATTCATAGTAGATATTACCGTAAGTGAAACAAATAGGAATAGGTGTGCTATTCCACTCATAATGTACAAAAATTATAACAAGTGGTCTATGATATTTATTCTCCAAGTCCAGCTGAGACCTTCAAATGATCTATTGCCTGTTGCTTTGCACTTCTATGATATTTGTTAGACATTGGATGTCAAAGGTTCGCCTTAACTTCCTTTTTTTCTGATTTGCAAAAGTTTTCAAATCGTATATATCATATATGTATGTGCAACCGTAAATAAATTGAAAATGTTACCATGAATTTATGTTCTACACTCTATGCTAAAATTCTGATTTATTCGAGCACTAAACTAAAACATAATAAATTTATCAATGTTTTTTTTTTTTTTTTAATTGACTTCAAAATAATTCTATTACTCGTCAGTACTGGAATCCGTTGTTTTTGCATTTTTCATAAGCGGATTTCAATGAGCTAATTATGGTGACGCCTTTATCGCGTTTAATATATTTTTCATTGTGTTTTCATTTGGGTTCACGAGATAATAGCCAAAATCTACAAAGTCTATTTTATATGATTTTTAAAAAAAAAAATAATAATAATAGTAGTCCAGGCCGACGTTTCAGCTGCTACGCAAGACAATAAATATAATTTCTTTTGCTCCATGCGTTCTCTATAAGAATATCTAAAGGTTTGTGCTAAGGTGCACACATCCCATCGTATATCAAATTTACCGAAGCTTTGTTAGCTCTGGGAAACACATTGAGAAATTCATAAAGTATATGACATAATGACATGTAATAGTTCCGTTTATATAAATCAGTCTCTCTGTCTCTAATCCCGACATCAAAGCAAACGTTGTCCTCTTGCTTATTATGCTGCGAACTGTATTAGAAACAAAATAGTGTTTAGGCAATATATCGTACGGTAAGTGGCGTACGACTCAGAGCTGCTTTAGTTGTGCTCATTGGTCAATTCATCTTTCCGTTCAAAACATAGCGCAGATCGGCGTAATAAACCTGTAGCTAAAACTTGCCTCGCCCTCACCAGAGAGGAGATGCGACCATAACGTATCTCGTCTAGTACTCGGGGACTTAATATTCCTCATGGCAACGTGTGCGCCGACTTCGGTACCGTATGTTGCGAGGATTATTAACCTCGGGGAGTTTGAGTGTTTCACACTCCGTTTGGCATCGGTCACCGTGGGGTTAAACCTTCACGGTAGTGTGCCCACGTTAAACCCTCAGAAACATCTGTAGCTAAAGCCGTAAAGCTTAATGGATGTGTTTTTTGTTTCGTGTAAGGATCTATCAAAACATCAAACAAAGCTTACTAAAGTCTGATCGGCCTATTAATCATCCCGATCGTCTAAATTGTTAGATGGGTTTTTCGGATTTCACGGCGAACGATTTTTTCCGATTGTGTTTAATTACTTTTGCTTTCCTTGTCTTCAAAAGTGTTTTATTGTGCGGCTGCATACTTTTTGTGTACAAAGGTATTATGGCTCATGTATTTAAGTTTGCAAGTCTTCATAAATTTATTGCTGTTTGTTTCTGATTCACGTATAAGAATACGCGCGTGCATGTATCTTTTAGTTATATATTTTTTAAGTTAATAGAACTTTTATTCGTTTGGAGTAGGTAAAGATGGTTTTTCTGAGTCTTACTTTTCATATCTCAATTACGTATAACTATCATTGTTGTTGTTGTTGTTGATGTTGTTACTCTCAAATTACTTATTCAATTTCACAGGTATATAATGGAAAATTTATTGCTCTTCATGTTGTTAGTCATTTTCGATTTCATTTGTTTTTGTATTCATCACTCGGAGGTTTAAGGTATACACGTTTCGTTAATACGTTTGAAACGGGCAAAAAAGAAGGCTTGAGAGACCATTCCAAAAGTAAAAATATTATTGATCGATATCGAGTGTAAATGAATCTAACGGACATACTTATGTCCGTCTGTGCAGGCATTCTCTTTGTTGTAAAAAAAATTTTAAAAAAAATAAAAATTTTATTTGGAGAAAAAAAAAACACATTTTAAGTTCTTGTACGCTGCTTGGTAATGGAAATGCCTCAAATCGGTCAAAGAATATATTTGTAGGGTAACATAAGACATGAAGACAGTCGTGCTGTCCGAAAATTTTAAAGCATATCTCATAAACTAAGGGTAATTCAACTGTATATGTACAGTATATATACAGTGTCTGTCCATAATTACTGCAGCCGCTCAAAGGTGTAAAGTAATCGAATATCATTTTTTTGCCGTGGTGTGTGTAAAAGATTCGGCCACAATACAATCTTAATTCTTTGATTTGATTTCTCTTTAGCTTAGCCTTTGTGCTTGTCAAATGCACGTAAACAATAACAAATTCTATTTTGATATTAATAATAAAAGGTATGAAAATTCAATTTCACTGTTCTATTATGTCTGAAACAAAAAAAAAAAATAAATAAATAAATTTATAAATTGAAATATTTTGATTTTTATTTTCATATTTCAAATACGTTTTTTTTTAAAGACAGATTGCTATCTGAAAAAGTATTAAAAAATGCAAATGACGATTGAAGCCAGCAAAGGATAAACTAAGTAGTGTCTAACAGTCCGTCGTATATGAACTTAATGAAGTGCAATCTTAATTAATTTAATCATGAAATTTTTGGGTAGGCATGGCCGCCATCAATTCAGCGCGTTGATACTAGATTCATGCATGCTAGTGTTTATTGCGTATTCTTTAATACAAGCATCACAACGATGAAACTTGTAATGTCGCACTCGTCAACGGGATGACTCCGATTATGTGTTTTAGATAAGTGTACTAAATCAGCCAAAATCCAGATTTTTTACCCTTCATATAGATACGGACAGACGGAATGACAAAACTTAATTAATTAACCTTGTGTCCGATGATCTAACTATGTTTTCTCATTAGAGAAAGCCATGCCTTTTCTTACTACATTTGTTGCGCCTTTCTAACTAATTTGATACTCTTGCGGGCAATAGACATAACAAAATAAATGCTTACGGTTGTCTGATGACTTGCAATGTCACCATAATGTTGCCCAGAAAACGGCCAATAGTCAATAATGTATATTTCGAAGCATCACAAAAGCAATACCAAAATTAATGACTTGACTATCGCTATCTGTTGGTACAGATAGAGAACATTATGATTATCAGAAATTTTAGTTCATCGTTTAGGAGTTGTAAGCATTAATGGCCAAAACGTTAAGTGCTTCAAATGAAACTCGTAGTGATAGTTTGTTGCTAATGTTCGCAGGACAGTTGTGCGTTAAATAATTACATATATATATGGAAAATTTCAGCTTTCTAGCGTAAGTTTCATAGTATCGGAAAATTTTTAATAGGAGTCGATAGAGGAGAAGATATTTAACTTGACTTTGAATTTTACCCGCAATTTTTGCATTTTAATTTGCTGCTAATTCACTCCCAACTGACTGATTGTATTAAATTAAAAACATTCGTTAAGCCTTTTTTACGTAACAGTACAATACATGAAATAGTTATTCCCCCTCGAGCCTTTAAGAGATTATGCAATGATATATTTGTTATTGTTGTTGTTGTTTTTTATGTCATCGTTGCACTACTTAATCAACTAATACCACGAACCGTAAGAGAAGAGTGATGTATGCCTTATACCGAAGTGTTTGAGATCTACTTCAGTGTTTCTCTTTTCATCGTAGAAAACATTGCAAAAATTATTGAAAATATTAAGTATTAAGTCCATGTATGGCTCCGCTATCGAAAGAAGAAGAACGAGCTGATGTGCGTGTTTATTGTTTTTTTTTTCGAGTGGAAAAAGTGAGAGTTAAAATTTGCCCCGAGACATTAAGAAGACGTACAGCTTGTGTACGAAAGAAAGTGCGTTTTGTTTCCGAAAAAGCAAGAATGCATTGCACACTCATAAAACAACTGCCCTAACTGATCATTTCAGATATAAGGCATTTAAGATTTTGTTATCAACAATCTTACAATCGAAACTGTCCTTGTCGACTCATCATTGCTTCAATCGTTCCCAACCAATCGTTCCATTGGACGATAATTTTACTAAGTGATGCCTTCTATATGCTATATGTTATCAGTTACTTGCTACTTTCCGTTGACAAATTTCGAAATGTTAACTGCTTCTTGTTATTTGCTCCATCCTTTTTGCTACGCGCCTCGTCGTCTTCAATTACTTTTTTCCGTTCTCACAAGCGGCTTAGGGAGTAAAACCATTTAGAAATTTCATATTACTAGAGAGGTGCTAAGCTAGAGAGTAGTTATCCAATTTTCATTTCACTGCAAGTTAGGCGCTCAGCTGTGATTCACTTGAAACGAGTTTTGGAACTGAACAACTGAGAAGTAAAGGTAAATTAAAGGTAGTACGTCACGTATTCTCGCTTGTCAAAACTATACCTGTACATGACTGAAGCGTACTTTTCTACGCGCGTTGCAAATAATTTACTAGAGCTAATGTATTCCCTATAGTTTTTTAAAAAAAAAAAAAAAAAAAAAAACAAAAAAAAAAACGGAAAAAAGTTAAATATAAAATCTAGATTATCTATCATACATAAACGCTTTGCCGAGCTTAAATGCTCAGAGTAACATTTTCAGCATTTTGTTGTTGTCATTTTTTCATGCAGGATTAAAATAAAGCAAAATTAACTACCAAAATGCATAAATGAATTTAATTTCTCCAGACGTCATCATCATCATCATCATCATCATCAAGGGACAAAGCATGTATTAATGTAATGACAGTGTTGAGAACAACTAAAGGCTTGATCGGCTTAGAACTAAGGGATTCGACTATTAGTAATGTGCACTTGTCGTTTGTTCGAAGAATTTTTAGTAGTCGCTTAAGTAAAATTAAAAAAAAAAAACTCTTAAGTTCACTCCTTAGCTGAGAATAATGATATTTCACAATGAGAATAATTTACCGAAACAAAGAAGTCCCATATTAACGAGGAAGTGAAGGAAAAAACTCAAGAAAGAAAATTTCAATTTTCCATTTTCATACTATTTACTGACTTTCAGATATCCACTGGAGCATGAATGATGACTATTTCCGATTTGTTCCCCACGGTACTTAAGTCTGTCTTACTTTTATCAATTAACGTTCATATGAATTCGCGTAAGCATATGTGTGTACATATGGACGGATCATTTCAAAAAATTGAAATGAATCTTTATGCAGAGTAAATATTTCATTTTAATGAAAAAAGCTCTATTTATTACATTATTAATACATTACATTTAATAATCCTTTAATAGAGGATTTTATCTCAAATATTTCATTGTCATCGTCAGCCCTACTGCGCTAATTAATGCTTTTATAAGAGATTTTTATTTATTTATTTATTTTTATTTTTTTCTACTTCATTTTTCTCTTTGCGGTATTCAGTCTTTTTCTCCTGTAGAAATGTAAGCGCATTAGCCCATGTCATTGTTTCCAAATAATGTCACTGACATTATGTAAATGCGTTTCATGTTGTTAAAAAATTAAACTCTCACCGATTCAATATTAAGAAAAAAAAAAAAAAAAACTTTGATAGTATCTGACTCCTTTAGTTGATTTCATGCCACGATTCTTATACTCACCACTGAAGGCTGACGGTACAACTCATTTTATTTATTTGTTTTTTCGTAATATATGTAACAGCCCAAAGAATATATATTCTTGATTGGCATAAAATTCCGGGCTGATTAAGTCATGTCTGTCCGTCTGTTTGAAGTTTGTTGTTGGTGCTCTTCTAGTTGCAAAAAAATGAAGATACCGACTTCAAAGTTAATAGAAACGTTGGAAATCTTTGCACGCAAATTGGTATTGAAAATGGGCCAAATTGGTTAGAGGAGAAGCCGGCAGTGGAGTATAAACTGAAGGCATCTCCATTTTTTGTAACAAAAATATGTAGACCTTTGCTCGTTACTCGGAAATTATTACAGTTCGAAGACTGAAATTTTCCACATTGGCTTTACGAAGCACTCTACGCTTTATGTGGCAGATTATTTACCTCTTTAATAATAGCAGCGAGAATGCAAAAAGCATAGTGATGGGTATGTGAGATTCGGCCCCCACCAAATATAACTTTCGTAATTTTCTTCTTTTTTGTTTTTTGGGTTAACATTAAAGTGGCAGTGAAATGACTTCATGCAGAATGGCATTAAAAGAAAATACATTTAGCTGTACTTTAACCGATAACGAACCATTATATAATTAAAATCGTTAATTGTTCAATCGAATACTCAAACACAGGCTCTCATCCTTGTACTCGTGGTGATGCCTATGTAGGATTTTCTTTAAATTGACTGGAAATAATTGTCAATTGAACCTTTATTGAATCCAGATCAGTTGTGACGGGCATAGAATGCAAATTGCCTGTGATCTCTTCCACAGGACATCATTCGAAATTTTCTACCAAATACACGTCGCCTTGTTTTGCTTCGAATAAAAGCATTTGTTGAGGCCCCTTCGCTATGATCATTTCTTGTTTATAGGCTCAAGCATATTTCATGTTCTGAAGTAATTGAAATATGGAGGAAGAGAAGGAAAAGAACTGAGAATTAAATAAAAATTTTCTAAAATGCTTGGGGACAAATTCGTTTTAAACTTTCAATCCACAATATCCGATTTCGAATATGTTTTCTAAGAAAAGCTGAAAGTAATACTTGACTATCGAAAGATCAAAAATATCTGGCCGCAAAGATTACAGTGGAAGATTAAACGTATTTTACTTGTTTGTATATGTAATTTTGTAAAGACAACAGTAATACGAATCGTTTTCTTTCCCTTCCTTTTCTCGTACACTGTCTTTCAGGTAGATCGTCTACTTGTACGCGTAAAAATAAATACAAAATAATGAAAATGATCATAATGAAGAAGAGTCAGAACAGAGAGAGAAAGAGAGAGAGAGAGAGAGAGAGATCCTTCTATAAATTAACTAACACTTAATATAAAGTAAAAAAGTACAGACTTCACTCTCGCAACATTTCCCAAAACGTAAAGAAAAATATGTCTGAAGTGCAAGAATTGTTCACGTCGGAAGAAATTGACCTCTGGTACCTATTCTTACAAGAGAAACGTTTTCTATGTCAAAGGCCCATAACTTGTTTCTTTTTTTTTTCTTTTTGGATCTTAATTCTGCTGATGAAAAATTCATCATTATCAGAAGATTGAATTTATCAGGTGGTAGTATATTATATAGTAGATAAACCTTGTGCAAGGTATTGGGAAATCGAGCTTGACTGACCGTAGCCGTTTGACTTAATTTGCATAACGTAATTTAACCAAAATTGTTTTACAAATATTGCAATAAGAGAGAGAGAGAGAGGGAGAGAAAGAGAGAGGGAGAGAGAGAGAGATTTTTTCAACTCACCTTTACATGGGCAGAAACCTTTGCATGCGATCCGTATAGATGTTGAATGAATGCAATTGTGGTAATCTAATCTGCATAACGATGAATAAGTTCGGTTATCGTTGCCACATAAAAATGTCGGTTTCGCGACAGGACATGGCTTGCAATTGCTGTCCGTTATCCATTGAAGTTTGTTTCAAAAAATGCCAAAATGCCAACATCATAGTTGTCATCATCATTATTAGGAATATTAGCAGCGTCAACAATAGCAACATCGTGTAGCAAGCAAAACGACGGAAAAAAAATAGGGAGAAAAAAAAGAGAGAAGGATATAATGAAATTAATATTTTGTGTTTTCGTTAATATTTTCATAGAATTTATAATATTTGAAAGATGAGCAGCGCGTAGCTGATAGGAGGAGTGGAAATCTCTTTGATTGTTATAAGAATTTCTTTTTTTTTTAGGGCGACAAGTATTTTCACTAAATTAATTATTCTTTTATACGTCATGTAAACCCAATGAATTTAAATTTCTGTTGTTTTTTCTCCCCGCTTTCTCTTATTTTCATTTGTATCATAAATTTTCGTATAATTAATTTGTTGTTGTATTTATTACACAAATTGCAGAGGAAGAGGAAAAAAAAAAAAACAAATCGCTGATTATTATAAAATAATATTCTTTGTTAAATTGCCTTTTTTTTTGTTATGTGAGGTAATCTAAAAGCTTGTCTAAAAAGTAGTAAGCCTATACTAATTCATATAAATTTATAAAATGGAAAAGATTAATATAAACATAAATTGATTAAAGTAAAATGAATGAATAAATGTATGTTGATGTGCTAAAAGCTTACTATTTTTTAGACTTGCTATCTTCATGTAAAACACATGAATCTGAGATTTAATCAGCCATAAAATTTACAACATTTTCTTGTTTTGCGGATGTGCATTCTGTTTAACACATAACAGAAAACAGAGACAATAAGCAAATAATTTAATTAAGTTTACGACAATTCAGTAGCCGGAGTATGTACATATATATTTATATATATACATTTATATATATTTATGTATTTATATGTATGGATTGGATTGTGTAATTAAACTTCTATGTTTTAATAATAATAATAATATAAGAAATAGTAAAAAATCAAAAGAGAAATTTAATAGGATCTCTTTCTTTCGTTGACATTCTTCACAAATTTTTTTAATTGATTTTTAAATGACTATCCTGATGATTTCATTAAAATTCATTCGTTTTTAACGCTTACAATTATTAAGATACAAATTCGAAGAATGAAATTACTTATGTAACAAAAATTTTTTGCTTTGCTTGCATAATTTCATGGAAATAAAAAACCATCTAATGGAAACAAAAACCTATTATCTATGCTCTTGCATAGATAATAGTTCTCAGCCTGAAATCAAATGATTTTGCGTTGGTATTGACCTGTTATCTACCATTTTCCAATAAAGTTCTTTGACTACTAACTCTACAAAATTTCCCGAATACGACTGATCTCTAAGATATTTTATCTTTGATCAGAACGAGCTTGCCTCCGTCTCACCCATAACTTCTGCATTGATTGTTAATGCGCAAATATCTTGCTTGCGAAACGTAACGGGGCAGGTGTGAGGATGTAGCTTTCAAGACGTTGAAAGCGTACTTTTGAGAACGTATCGCTAACATGCTGTACGTACTTCTTTGAAAAAAGCAATCCACCCAAACAACAAAAGTCATAAAAGAAATGATACAAAACTAACCAAGGGCTCAAGCTGATAAACCCCCCCCTGGGATTTCGCTTGCTCACTTAATTGCTTTTCATGGCACCCTCCAGGACAGAAAAAGAGTGCAATCAACGAATTAGAAAATTGTCCTTATAAATCGTACACTAACATAGAACAATTTTACTAAGGCCGTATCCACAACTTAATTGAAAGATCGCGATTCCTGTTACTTTAAGCAAAATGCTTTCTCCATCCATCATTTAAGTATTAAAAGAAAAATCAAGAAGAGCTGGAATGGTGCAACATACATAAATCCTTGATTCATTATTCCCCTCATATAGATAAGTTGGTTCTTTTTCGTCTTTATTGTTTACTTCTAGGACCCAACAGCTTTGTATAACATAAATGTATATAAATTACATCTTCAAATGATAGAAAATTAACATGAATAAGTGCATTGGAACATTGGAAAATAAAATAAAAATGCAAGTCTCCTGTTTAGGCCCTGAAGATTTTCGTAATTCCTCCAAATAGTTAGAATCGATGAGTTTTCCAATAATATTCGAAAGATGACATCATAAGACTCTTTACGGCGTCTTCATTGGGGGGGTTCCCCTCTTTTTCAAAAAAAACCATGGCTTCGGAAAAGAGCTTTGAGAGATTATCAGTTGTTTGGCCTTGGCCTTTTGCCTTATAAATAAGGGCAGTTAATATCAAACCACGAAAATGAGTGATCTTCTTGCTAAGCTTTCGTTTGTATTTTTTATCACAAACAGTCATTATACTTTTTTAAAGACAATTCTTGTTATTCGCTCTACAATAATTTATAAAATGAACGAATTTTCATGAAAATTAATTTTTTGAGCAGTTCTTTACAAATCAAGAAATTTTTTCATGTATCTAGGTGGTGAATTTACGACCTACATGTGCACGGCGAGTGGTGAAGTAAAATCAACAACCCTGTAATATAGAGAGACTTACATTAACCAACACTATTTCGTCAAAGCCTATTCGATAGTGAAAAAATCAAATTATATCTATGGAAAGTAATATGTACTTCTCTTCAACTAAATTCATATATTTATTTGGTAAGTTTCTTTTATAGACAAAGCTTTAAAATCATTGACTTTCATCAATAGTTTTCAACATAAGTGTTTCATGTATTGCAAATAATTCTTTGATACATTTTCGTAGGTATGACGTAACGTTGGCCACGAAAACATGTGTTCTTATAGATTGTAGTTTGGAGGACATTTCTTTCGTAGGTGCATACAGCGAAATTTTCTCATCTCAATACTTTTACAAACTATAAAACAACCAGTTGATGTACTAAGCCTTTAGATTTCGTCCGTTAATGCTTCTTTGCCTTGTGGGAAGCGTTTGCTATTTAAATTACTGGCAGTTCTAACAATCCAAATATATCCATCATAAAAGATGTAGTGGAAATTTCTTTTAAGTTTTATAACTCACAAATGTTTATATCACATATTGATTGCGCATCTAGTACCGGCTGCCTTTTGTTTTAAATAGTTTCAAAGAGCTAGAAAGGTTGTCATCCTAACAATTCAAGCCGAACTTTTCCATTTTCTTCACTTTCTTCTGTTTACTTTTAAAAGATAGAAAAATCTTTTCTATTAAATTTATCAACTTTAACACTCTAACCAATGACTTTGTGTACCTTGCGTTTAGTTTTCCTATTGATAGTAAGGGGTTCACTGGAATTGAAAATTTATCTCAATGAAATTGATTTTTATTGTATCTCTGAACGAAAAATGGCGGTAAGCTAGCTTTATTGTTTTATTTGCCAAATCTAAGAACATCTATCAACGCGAAGTTTTACATCGCTTGAACGATATCGGTGTCTCTTTTTTTTTATTGGGGGGCTTAAAGTTGGAAATATTTGCCTAGTTTAAATAATAAGTTTGAAAGTGGGTCTGATTGTCTTAAATAAACTCGCAATAACAAAGAAAGTGTGAGAAAAAGTAAAAATATCGAATCAATAATGATCAATAGTAATGAATAATTTACCAAATATAGCAGATCGACCCAACATATATATATATATATATACGTAGTTACACACACATATATATGTATATATATATATGTCTATATTTATTTGTTCATGGCTTCAAGAATGTATATAATGTTCGTTTCAAGCTCTGTATAACATTTTCAATTTACCGCTACGTTTTATTTATTTTCGTATACATATGTATATAATAATGTATTCTATTCAAATATATATATATATAAGCACACAAGCGTTTGCTGTAATATAAACAATGCCCGCCTGTCAACGACTTGTGATAAAAGATACCCAATCCTATCATCATATATTTAATCTAAAAAAATAAATAGAATTTAAAGTAAAAATAATGAAAAAGTAAAATAAAATAAAAATTCTCTCTGTACATTGTTCCCTTTTAAAATATAGGTAGATAGAACACCATCTACACACCCACTTGTTCAAAATAAGTATATTGAATAAAATTTGTAGAGAAATCTATACACAAAAGTATTGTGGAATCAATTTATTGTAAAGTTTTCATGAGCAAACAAAAACATGATTTTATCGTTTAGAAAGATTTAACTGCATTGAATGCACCTTTTCTCTAAAATTAAATACAAAATAAAAAAAAAAGGTTCGGTTTAGATCGAATTGTTTTCTACTCACTATCATTAGTTATGTAATGATCGAACGAAAAGATAGTTTATATGATTTCTCTTTTCATATTATGACGATAAATGAAATCATTTTCTAATATTTCGTCTATACTTGCAGCGGCGTATGTAATAAGAAAAAAAAAAATTTGTGTATTTCATCATCGACCATTCCAAGCAAATACATAGGATTTATGGAACTTCTTCCAAATTATGATCAATTGACCAATAACCATTAGGTTTCTAAGGAGCTTAAGGACAATTCTGCCAGGTATTTCGACCTTATTTATTTTATATTTACATTGTCTGAAATTATTTTCTACCAGCACTTGATACATGTTTTATGAACAGATCACGATCCCAGCTGAACCTTTTTTTTTTTTTTGAGCTCGCAAACGAAGGGGACATATGTTAAATTCTACCAGATCTTCTTAATTTTCATTTATCAAAATGGTTTTGCCAATAGCTGACAAACCTACATATTCTCTTGAATTCAAGGTTTCAATCTGATGGAAACTTTGAACGAAATAAAACTGCAGCGAATAGAAAAACGAGTTCTGTTGATGGGAGCTAAAACTTGAGACCCGCTTTCACATTTAAAACAATTTTGCGATTACTTTATATCATTTTCATTGCGTTATTACGCTTATATGTCTGATTCATATTAATTGCAAATATCGACGAGATAAAAATGATTTCTGAATTATCGCTTTGTATATATAGTTAGGTGCGATAAATAAGGAGCACCACCAACTGCAACAAAAAATAAATATATAAATTGA